GAACTATATTTGCAGGAAATTGTCAGGCTACATGGTATACCGGTATCCATAGTGTCCGATCGCGACCCGCGTTTCACCTCGACTTTTTGGCGGAGTTTACACAAGTCCCTGGGCACTAAGTTGGACTTTAGCACAGCGTTTCACCCCCAAACCGATGGTCAGACGGAGCGTGTGAACCAGGTTTTAGAGGACATGCTCAGAGCTTGCATGTTAGACTWTGGTGGTAGTTGGGACAAGTACCTCAACCTAATAGAGTTCGCTTATAATAACAGTTTTCAGGCCACGATTGGGATGGCCCCATACGAGGCACTGTATGGGAAGGAGTGTCGGTCTCCGGTTAATTGGGACGAAGTCGGAGAAAGAGTTCTCTTGGGACCGGATTTGGTGCAGACGACTAACAGTGCCATTCAAAAGATAAGGGGAAGGATGCAAATTGCACAGAGCCGTCAAAAGAGTTATGCAGACGTCAGGCGAAAGGAGCTCGAGTTTGTGGTAGGTGAGCGGGTGTTTCTTCGTGTGGCACCCGTGAAGGGAATTTTACGATTTGGGAAGAAAGGGAAGCTCAGTGCAAGGTTCATTGGGCCTTTTGAAATTTTGGAATGTATCGGCCCAGTCGCGTATAGGTTGGCTTTGCCACCATCGTTGGGAGCGGTTCACAATGTGTTTCACGTGTCTATGCTGAGGAGGTACATTCATGACCCTTCGCACGTTTTGGACCCTGAACCATTACAACTAGATGAGTCCTTGTGCTACGAAGAGGTACCTGTGAAAATTTTGGCAAAAGAAACCAAGTTGTTAAGGAATCGGACGATTTGCTTGGTTAAGGTTTTGTGGAGAAACCACCAAGTGGAAGAAGCTACTTGGGAGCGGGAGGACGATATCGAGGCGAGATACCCTGAACTGTTGGAACAGTAAACTTTCGGGGACGAAAGTTTTTGAAGGAGGGAAGTCTGTAACGCCCCGAGTCCCTCAGGTTAGTTAGTCTCGAATCAGGAGATTTTTCATTTAATTATTTTTAAATTAATTGTTAATTAAATTTATACATATTTATCGGGCTCTAAACTCCAATTAAATTTATATTTACCGGACTTCGGGTAGTGGGTCTTGTTTTAAGATGGAATGGATTTCTTTCTCTTGGGCTTGGACTTGTTGGGCCTTTATTGGGTTAAGTTGGTTTTAAAACA